GTCTTTTTGAGACAGGGTCTCTCTATGCAGTTCAGGCTGGCCTTGAACTTGCAATGATCCTCCTGCCTCAGCCTCCCGAGTGCTGGGATTACAGGCGTGTGCCGCCATCACCAGCAAAGACAAAAGTTTTAAATATGCATAATAAATAAATAACAATAATAAATGTAAACATACATTCTTTGAATGTTTACTGTTCAAAGCAATAATATACATGGCCACAAAGAAAACGTTAACTGAATTTTAAAGTAAAGAATTTTACAGGCTACATTCTCTCACAATTAAAAAAAATTATAACTAATTAATAGAAGTTGGTCATGAAAATTGTACCCACTTAGATTATTGAAAATATAGTCTTTCTACTGAAGATAAAGTCAAAAGAAAAATTATTAAGTATACAAGCTTAATGAAAGAGAAAATTTTATGCCAAAGCTAATGCAGCACTCTGAAAGCTAAACTCAGAGGAAAATTTGTAGCTTTAGGTTTCTTCATTGTTGAAAAAGAGAAATTTTTAAAAAGAATGTAGTTCTTAACAAAACAGAAAATAACAAAAATTATTAGAAGGTAAATGTAGAAATATAAACCCTTAAATTAATACAGTTACAAACAAAATCAAATGAATGCAAAAGTTATTTCTTTGTAAAGTCAAAGTTCCTCCAATTAAATACAAAAAATATACAATATTGGAAATAAAAGAGCTACCTAATGTGGGAAAGACTAAAATAATTTATTGAAATACTCTGTGCAACTGCTTGGAATCAACATATTTGAAAATCTTGAGGAAATGGAAGATCTCCAGTTCACTGAATAAAATGACATAACTTTAATGTTAAAACCTCATAAAGATTGAACAAAAAAGGGAAACTGCTGACCAATGTCATTTATTCATTACAGATGTCAGAATTCTAAATAAAATTTTGTAATACACGTTATAGTGTAAAAAGTAGATGCATCTGGGATACATTTTGGAGGTAGAGCTGATAACGTTTGATTTAGGGATGAGGAGAAAAGGTTGGTGCTATGAGGACGGTGGTGTAGCATACTATGATGAGAAAGACTGGAGAAATAATTGGAGTAAGTAAGTTGAATTAAGAGTTCTATTTGACATCATATGTTTGAGATAAGTATTACACGTTGAAGAAGAGGTACACATGTGAGCCTGGATATCAGGGCTGGAGATAAAAATTTGTGTCATCAACATTTACCTGCTGGTTAAAGACCTTTTTAAAATTTTTCACACGACAAAAGCGTACAACTTTATTTAAGTTTTACTTAACATGGGAGCCCTCATAAGAAAATTAAGACATAATGAAACAGTTAAATCAATGTATTTTTATGCCAGGGGTGATGAATAGCTAGTTAGGGGGAAAGAGAATAGGGCAAAAGGGGCATGATCTAATGACTATAAACTGGAAGAGGGCCAGGCATGGTGCACATGCCTGTACTCCCAGCACTCGGGAGGCTGAGGCAGGAGGACCGCCGTGAGTCCAGGGCCAGCCTGGGCTACATAGTGAAAGCTTGTCTCAAAAACACAAAACGAGATTTCAGTGATACAAACAGCCTGCTGTGGCACACGTGCCGTAGGCTACCAATGTACTGTGTTGTTTCCCTTCTCTATACAGAAGCTTTTTAGTTTGGTGTAATCCCAGTTACCTATTTTTGCTGCTGTTGCCTGAGGTTTTAGAATCAAATCTAAAAGTCCATTACCCCAAACAACGTCATGTAGTTTTTCCTCCATAATTTTTACATCAGTATGTTGGCTTTCTGTTACTGTAACAAATACCTAAAATAATCAGTTTAAAAGAGGAAAGGTTTGTTTTGGTTCGTGAGTTTTATTTATTTATTTATTTATTTATTTTTGTCTTTTTGAGACAGGGTCTCACTATGCAGTTCAGGCTGGCCTTGAGGTTACTTTTTAACCCAGGCTGGTGTCGAACTCTCAACGATCCTCCTGTCTCAGCCTCTCGAGTGCTGGGATTACAGGTGTGCGCCACCATATCTGGCATATGGTTCCTGAGTTTTAAAGATTTGAATCCATGATCAGTTGGCCTGTGATAACATATCATTGTGGGAACGTGTGACAGGTCAAAGCCATTTACTTCATGATCTGTAATTGAAAACAAGAAAGTGGAGCCTGGGGTCTCAGTATCCCCCTTCAGTGCATGTCTCTGATGACCTAAGGGTCCCCCTACCTTCCAACAGTGCCACTGGATGGGGAACAAGCTGTCAACACATGGGCCTGTGGGGACACTGCGACACAAACTATGGCATAGCAAGTAGCTTGGCAGTATCAGCTCTTATATTTGTCTTTAATACACTTTGAGTTGCTTTTTATATGTCATATAAGCCAAAGGTCTAATTTCATTCTTATGCATGTGGACACTTAATTTTGCCAACACAATTTATTGAAGATATTATCCTTTTTCAATCAGAAAAGACATGAAGTGGTGCCAGGCTTCAGAGATGGAAATTAGTACTGGAATGAACTGGCAGTTGAATACCTACATCTGCACATCAACCATCTGGAATTCCATTTCTGGAAGAAAAGTGGTAATATTTGTGCTCTACTATGACTTTCATATACGTATGGTATATGCATATAACGTAGATTTCTATTAAGGAAGTATAGCAAAAGAAAGAATTGAAGGGAAAAATGTAAATAAAGCCTTTGCAAATGGAAAGGGGACCAAGAGTTGGAAGGAGCAGGGAGGGATGGGAGGGGTGGGAGACAGAAGAAGAATGAAGATGCATTATATGCATGTACCAACCCCCCATGATGAATGTAATCATTATGTTCTGCAGACATGTACCAACAAAAAGGAAACAGAGCAAAAAAACTTTTCTGTTTAATCAGTTTTAATGTATTTGTTCTAAACGCATTAAACTATTCCATAGACTAAAATGTGGAAATTCAAATTCAGGACTTCGATAAATCCTACAGTTCTCTCCCCATCACTGAATCTTCCATTATTTTGCTCCAAAAATAAATACTTTTCAATCAGCATTTTACCATTTCTATTGTAATGTATAAACATTAGCACCATATAGCTCTGCTTCCTCTTGCTTCCTTTACATTTGTATATAAAGGGACTGTCTTGGTTACTTTTCTCTCATTGCTGAGACAAAATACCCAGCACCTCAAATTAAGGAAGGAAAGTGGCACGTGGCAGAGGGCAACCATTCATGGCAGTGGAACACAGCAAAAGCAACAAGAGCAAAAGGGAGGAATGGCGGCAAGCAGCCACTGTCCCTCCCTTACATTGTATGCAGACTACCGGCCCCAGGACGGGTGTCGCACTCACATCCATAATCCCAACACTGGACCATGAATCAATCATGAACTCTAGAAGCCCGCCCCATGACTGCATGAGGCTTTGCAGGGACATCCAGACACAAACCATAACAAGGACATATACTGATCAAGATATATTGCTATAAATCTAAAAATTGCATTTATAAATCTATAAATTACATCTGCATACATTGGAAATTTCCATCAGACAGTCTTACACTTTTTTTCTATCAATCATCAAACATGTTCTGTAGAACTGAAGAATGGAAAAATTATTAGTCTATATATTTATATATTAATTAGTCACATTATGGTAGTCTATTATATTTATATTATATTTTTCTATTCTATTTATATATTAATTAGTCACATTATGGTAGTCTATTATATTTATATTATATTTTTCTATTCTATTTATATATTAATTAGTCTATTATATGTACCGAGATATGTAGCATTTCTTCTGTTTTCCCTATAGATATTATATCATTTTTTGTGTATCATTTTATTGTGATTTCAGTATTGTTTAATTTCTCATTTACAGAAGTTGATTATGATGTATTCTGGCGTAGATTTTGTGGCAGCCTGTTTGGTATTCATTTATATATTGATGACTCTCAAACTGGTATTGTCAGTCTATAGCTCTTTCCTGTTACCCAGATTTATATATCCAACTGCCTAATTCTTCTTCATGTTGACATATGATAAGCATCTCTAACTGCACATGTTCCAAACAGCTATTCATCTTCCCAACACAGCTGGTGGCAGCCCCATCCTTCTAGTTGCTTAGGCCAGAAACGTTATTATTCTTTGACACCTATTTTTACTGCACATCCAATTTATGAACAAGTGCTGTTCATAAATTTATTTCTTTGCAGAATGAATTCTAAGTTTTTCTAATCCATCTCTTCCCTGCATCACTATAGTAGCCTCCTACCCGGTCTCCCCGCTTCTGCCTTTGCCTTTACTGTGTTCTGCACAGTACAGGCAGAGTGATTATTGACAGTGTAAGTCAGAGCAGGCCTCTGCACTGCATCACCACCATTTCTTGTCGAGCAAAAGCCGACTCCCTGTGCTGCCTTTCTGCCCACATCTTCTAGCAGTCTCGCATTGCTCGGTTCATTCTAGGCAAAAGTTGGCTCAGTAAATATTCTTGAAAGAAGGCAGGAATGATCCATACCTCTATGAATATACCTTTAGGTTATCTCCCAGGTCATTTTCCAACCTGCTTCAGTGTGACTTCTGTCCAGTATATTGTCCCACTGAATTGCTGGCATGAAAGTCTACAATCACTTTTATGTGGCCAGATCTGTAGTACTTCTTTACTGGTCTTTTTGAGCCCTTCTTTCCTAGCACTCAAACAGTATATATTCATGAAGCACCTACTATGTTCTATATACTGTTTGGGTGCTGGGAACATAACAATAATTAAACAAAAATCCATGCTATTATGTAACGTATATTCTATTGGGGACACAAATAATAAGGTGCTAAATGCAATGCAGAAAATTAAAGCAGGGAATAAGAGTTAAGAGTATTGGGGGGTTGATTTTCATTTTCAATAGGCTGGTCAGGGAACTTTTTATTGATAGAGTGGCTCAGTCTTGAGTAGAAACTTGAAAGGGGAAAGGAAGCAAGACTTCTGGAGTACCATTTCAGCAGAGGGAATGATTAGTGTAAAAGCCTTGAAGTACGAGTGTGCTGAGAGACTGAACGAGACACCCATGGTGATTATAAACAGGACCACCAGTCTAAGTCATTAAAGGAGGATGAAGATGAGGAAGGAACTGCCAAGGAGCTGGAACAAGAGTGGCCAACAGAGAAATAAGAGTGCTTCTGAAAAACAGCACCCTTGGATTTAGAAATGCAGTACTCTCTTGTTTTCCTCTTACGTTACACCTCTTTTCAGCCCTCCTGTGCTGTTCTCTCTGTAACCTCTATAATAATGAATTGTAATCTTCAGTTAATTCCAGAAGAGGGCTAGCATGTAGTATGATACTTGGCATGCACGTATGCCAGAAGAGTGAACCCAAGCCCAGGGAAATAGACTTAATGGGAATATAAAGGAGAAGGGTTAGAGATTTTCCACAGGAAAGGAGTGTGGTAGAGCAGAGGTTAGGTGCGAGCATCCAAAGGGCATCTATTAGGATAACAGGGCAAAACGTATGTATTGCAGGGTGAAAAGTGTGAACAGCCACGTGTAGAGCCAGGTTATTTCACAGATTCTTTCTCAGTAAGAGTGAACAGAATTTAGAACCATGGGGATCAAAGACATACACACCTGGGTTCCCTAGGATGTCGAGGTACTCATTCTAGTCACCAAATGGGAATATTCCAGGGTGTACTGTCTGATAGCATCATAGAAGTGGACCAAAATCTCCATCCTTGGGCCAGGATTTATAGGCAGCACTGGGGTTAAGGGAAGAGGTCCTTGTGCCCTATTTGCTTAGGTCTTTTATTTGGTCCTAACAGGTAACTCCCGTGCACTCTGAAGCAGGGAAACGAAGACAGGACGAAGAACAGGAAAATTTAACCTTACTATCAACTATAATTCTTTCAACTTCTTTTTCACTTCCAACCCATTCTATGTAATGTGGGTACTTTTTAGGAACCAAGGGCAAGACTGTTAATCTTTATCTTATTTAATTAGGACTCTAGCATATAAAGAACATTAACATTTCTAATCATATTCAGTATTGTCATTATCCTTTCTAGTATATGTTATTCGATTGCTAAATGAGCATATTCTTTACAAATGTTCTTTGATAACTTTGTTAAACACAAAGACCAAGAACATAGGCTGGTAGCATATCACTGAAACTTTCTAGCAGGTCAGCACATTATTAGTCTTTGGTTATGAGTCACTTGAACAATTTATAATTTATCCAGTTGCCCTTGAGTAAAGCCATATTTCTTCAGTTTAGAAGGGGCAAGTGCAGTAGATAAAAAAAGAGAAGCAGTAGGCCTGGTAAGACACGCTGGGGGAGTTTACACTATTTTCAGTCAGCAAGGAGCCATTCAGTGCTTTTGAACAGGGAAGAGAAATTGTCAGAATCTTGCAAAAATGGGTCTGTGCAACATTCTTATTATTTGTTCTGTATTGAATGCTCTTCTTTCATCTTCTCAATGTATTAAAATCTGAGGTTACTGAAAACGTGATACAAACTAGCAACATGTTAAAGTAAGAATTGATAAGCCATTAAATCCCAGCCCTGAAAGATTTTGACTTGATGAGTATGTCCTTCTTTAGCTATTTTCACCTGGCAAATCCTACACATACTTCACGGTTAACTTTACAATGGCCCTATCAAATCGTACAGTTGTTCTAAAGTGTTTTATCAAAGATACATACATATGTAATAGCACACACTTAACACATTCTATGTCCTTTGGCAGATTTCCCTTCTTTTTCTCGTGAAGATTATTGGCCCTGAGATGGCAGAATTCTTCGTAGGCCTTACTTTGTGGTTAATTCATCCCTTATTTTCAAGAACAACTCTTTAAGTCTGCGTCCTTATACTTTATCACTGTCAGCTCCTGCACAGGTTCATTGTACTCTTTTTCTTTGTATTTGGCATTTAAAATTCCTTTCAGATTACATTCATTAAATTTCATATTTACCCTGGAGTGGCAACGTGTCCTCTTGGTGCAATTATATTAGGAAAGCAATTAAAAACTAGGTTCTCACTTGTTTCTTTTCCATTCCATTTCATAGATTCCAACCTCAATGGGCTCGCCTTCCCTAATGGCATCTCAATCCACAATTTATACACATCAACACTTAAAGACCAGCAAGCTTTCCATGCAATCCCCAGGACGTGAGGTACATTTGAGCTCGTATTGTTTTTGTGTAGTGTTGTAGAAAAACTAATTCTAACATGTTCGCCATCATAAAAGATATAGAACTATGTAGACCTGGCCCAGACCTCTATAAACTTCTGTTTTTAAAGCTCAACTAGGTTCTTATATCTACTTAACAAACTTTTTATTCATTCATTATTCATTCAACAAACTCAAATGTGGTTAGTGCTGGAGGTGAGCAATCCAGCCTGGTGATTTCAGGGATAACTTACCAGAGAGCAGACACCTAAGTTGAATGATAAGATTGAAAAATATCCACTCAACAGAATGAGGCTACTCCAGATACCCCAGAAAATCATATATAAACAGAGGGAGAAGGACTAAACCCCATAGGAATTCAAAGGAGAAAACAATTCAGGGATAGTTTTCAGGGCTGTTTTAGTCACTTTCTGGTTGCTGGGACACAATACTTGACTCCTACAATTTAAGAGAAGAAGGGTTTATTTCAGTTCAGTTTGGTAGAGGTTTCAGTCCACAATTGGCTGGCCCGAAGGCATAGGAGCTTGGCAGAGGAAAAGCTGCTCACAGCATGGTAGCCAGAAAGCAGCGTGAAAAGGGAGGAGCCAGGAGGGAGAGACACCATGCAGGCCACGCCCAGCCCTCCCCCCACTCCCTTAAGATCAGACCCTCCCCTCTTCTTCCGGCCAAGTCCGGCCTCCTAATAGTGAGAAGGGAGGAGCCGGGAGGCAGAGGCACCCTGCAGGCCACGCCCAGCCCAGGCCCAGCCTCTTCGCAGCAGGCCCGCTTCCTAACAGCGTGTGAGCCCGGTGACCCAATCACCTTTGGAAGGCCCCGCCTGAGCGCTCGGGCTTGGGACACCTAGGCAGAAACCAAAACAGAGGCACTATGTACAGAATGAAGAGGATTTCAACTAATGAATGTATAGAGGATGGAAGTTTGGCATTATAGGCAAAGAAATAGCTCGAAAGAAGGAACAGAGCAGGTGATGCTAAGGTGGACGAGTTTAGCTGAAGCTTGTAGGAAAGCATCATGATCCCGGTGTCCATTGACTGTTTTAAAGAGTTTTTTTCATTAGTCTTCAGTTGATGTGTTGGCCCCCCTGGTTCCTGAGTATCTGTTTTAGGAGGTCTCACAAAGTTTCCAGTATTATATATTAAGAAAATGACCAGAGCTTTACATGAAAACATTCATACTTGTTTTATAATCATAAAAATATGTAGAAATGATTAAGAATTTATCTTTCTTTCACTCAGATGCAGCCCATGCAGAAGTACCAAAGCAAAAGATTCAGATTCAGAGGTAAATGAAATGGTGATCTCTCAACAGGCTGAACTGGATCATCCACATCTTCCAAGTACAATAAACATTCACTTGGACATTCAGTATTCTTCAGTCTTCAATATTTTGGAGGCAATGCAGTCTCTTTCAATTGATTGACTGATAGACTGCAATATTGGGGATTGAACTGAAGCCCTTCACTTTGAGCTCTACCCCAGGCCTTTTTTATTTTTTTATTTTGAGGTGGTGTCTCATTGCCTCACTAAGTTGCCCAGGCTGAGCTGGACTTTGGGATCTCCTTGCCTCAGCCTCCCAGAGTGCTGGGATTACAGACATGCACTACAACTTGTTTTAATAGTTACCCTTGAATATTTTCCCTTGGGGCGTTATATAGTTTCCTATGCAGCGTGTCTTCCAGCATAAATTAAATTATATAAAGGTTACTGTAAATTTCATTTGAATATTTTAAAAAGTTACTCTTGAAATTTTATCCTGCAAAATTATGGAATTCTAAAGTTAATATATTAATGTCCCTTCCAAATAACACAAGGAACTTGTAAGTACCTTCCTTATTTGCATATTATCATTGTTCATATTATCGTACCCTTATCCCCTTTTTCAACCTTTGCAAATTAAAATTAAAAGTATTAATATCTATAGTAGCAGTTTACATAAAATTTATTTTTTTATTTGAAATAACAAACAGACAACCATTTACAAAATAGCAAAAGAACAATACAAACAATACAGAGTTACAAAGTGGTAGGAAATTAACAATGCTTGTATTACATATTGATATCTTCAAAGTGGTTTCTCATGAAAACAGATAAGAGACATGCAATATTGATCAATCAAGGACTCACT